TTATTATTTGAACTTTTTGGCAAATTCTTTGATTATATATGTCTTGGAAAACAAAGGATTAATAATATGGAAATGTTAAGAATTTCGATGACTTATTCTATTACAAAACATTTTTAAAATAAACTTTTTCCCATTTTTGATGTTTTGATGAGATTTCTTTCTAATTTTATATATCAATACATATTTTAACAACTATTAGTGTACTCATTTATATTAGAGATTCCCATCCTTGAAATGCACTTTAGTTTCAAAATAACCAGCAAGAGTACTATGACATACTTTTTATTCACTCTTTTCTAACAGTTTTAAAAATGAGGTAACAATTTTAAAACAAACTCCTCTTTGTACTGTATTACCTTTTAGTGTTTTCCTTAATTTTAGTGGAACTTAGTCTGTTGCCATGTTCTGCATTCTTTCTTTGCCTCTGATTTTTCAAAAAATGAGGTTACTATAGCAGGTATTCCATAATTGACATTTTAAGAAACAAAGACTGTTAAAAATTATTCCTTCAAAATTCAAAATTAAACTGTCAAAGTTTTCACTGTACACAAAATTAAAAATAAGTATAATTTATGTAAAATATGCCAAAGATATTTATATCCTGTATATATTCAGTGTTTTTCAATGTCACAATCCAAGGTGGAATGTGATTAACCAAATGAATAATAATGTATCCAAAATCAAGCACACACAGTAGTCTTTACATCAGCTGCTACTCATGTTCATATTTGTTAACATTGCTCAGGTATTGTGTCCTGCTCCCTCCCCAAAATGCTCCCATTTCACATTTTGATTTTTTTTACTCTGAGAAGCCTAAAAACCATAAAATTTTATCAAAGCTACATTTTTTTGGTAAGAACAAAATGAGATTTTTGCATAGTATGAATATATTAATACGTTTTTCTTTGAAGACATATCTAGCATGGGAAGAAAGAGTACATTAAAATAAATTCCAAACCTCAATGACAAACATTTATACACATTAAATCTTACTTTCCATGCAGAGCAGCAATTAAAAAAAGCCCCAATCATTGTTTATTAACTGTATGTGATATTCAGCATTGTCTTAAAGATACTTTGAGGATATTGCAGTAATAGCTCCTGATAATATACCAATGGATATTTAAATAAGTTCAATGTAACAATGTGTACATCAATCACACTGACAGAATAAAATAGCTTGTTCAGTTACAAATTTGTTAGCAAATTATTGGCCATTGATTTTTGTTATAGAGCTTCTAAAGACTACAATTTTGAGCAGACTTATTTTGAAGACAAAAACAATATGGTAATAAATAAAGCATGCACAGTTAAAGAAAAACTTCGTCATGACTTTAATAATTATATTACTAGGTAGATGAGAATTCTAAAGATAGCAAAAGTTACTACTTTGAAAAATGAACTAATATGAATAATTATATTATGGCTTCTCTAAGTGAATGAAGATGTGTTTAAATGTAAATTTAACAAAAGCAATTTCTATCTAAATGCACACAGTTCATCCTACAAATTACTATAGGTAGAAAAGAGATTTTTAATTATAAAAGCAGTGGAAGAGGACATTTTACATACAGTAAAAATCTTAAAAGTGTGGTGTTTGCCCATCTTTACAAATTAGCATTCTTCTCCCTATCCTGATTTTGAAAAATTAAAGGATATTGAGTCTTTATAGAACAGAATCAAATTAAGACTGTTCTAAGAATGAGCTACAAATGTGGAAAAACTTGTAGAGAAATGTTCCTATCAATTTGCTTCTCGTGTAAGCTCATATTTAACTCATGAAACGAAAATATCTATCCTCAGTTACTAATACCTAAATATACAAATTGAATGGAATATACGAAAAATGATTTTTATATCCTTGGAGTTTTCTCTATAATAATGTATTATTTTGGGATAATGATAGTTCTTACTTCAGTGAGGAATAATGAGATGGAGACCCTGTTACTAACTAAATAGGAAACCTGAATTAGAGTTGTCCTCCTTTTATTATTTTGTAGAGCACCCTGTCTATACTTGTATCTCAGTTGTTCTGATTTATTGAGCTTATAACTTATTATCTAACCAAAAATGAGTTTATTATGACAAATTAAAAATGGCCAGAGGTCACAAATAATGCAGAAAATACAGGTAAGAACAGTTTTACTTGAGGGAAGATTTTCACTAATTCTGATACTTTTCTAATTTACAGGTCCTGAGAAGATTGTGTTAATTTTTACCTTATTTTTTAATTAAATGTAGAAGCCACATCTTTATTTAACATTTAAGAGCTATTTTTCCTCCTCATCTGTCAAGTGATTTTTCTTTAATACCTTTGTTATTCTTAGGAATGAATTAGTTGTGTCTAAGGGTAAAGGAATTCTTCGAGACTTTCTCTATAATGAAACAAATAAAAAGTTCTCTTAATGATGTAGAGATTTGTTATTTGATTAATCAGTGTGAACGTTCAAGCAAGAACTTTTCCATGTTTCGTTTAAAAGAAAACTTTGAGGCCGGCCCTGTAATCCCAGCACTTTGGGAGACCGAGGCCGGTGGATCACGGAGTCGGAGACCATCCTGGTTAACACGGTGAAACTCCCTCTCTACTAAAAATACAAAAAACTAGCCTGGCGAGGTGGCGGGCGCCTGTAGTCCCAGCTACTGGGGAGGCTGAGGCAGGAGAATGGCGTGAACCCGGGAGGCGGAGCTTGCAGTGATCCGAGATCGCGCCACTGCACTCCAGCCTGGGCAAAAAAGCCAAACCCCCCCTCCCAAAAAAAAAAAAAAAAAAAAAAAGAAAGAAACTTTGCTTTCAATGGGACAGTGCAAAAATCACTTGATGTTACTGAGATATACAAACTTTGTAGTTGACAGATTCCTTTTTAAAAGGTAAAGTTTATTCATTTTATAGTGCTTTGCCTCCCTTAGTAATTGAAAAGTTTTCTTTTTTTTCATTTTAAAACGTAATTTTGGATTGACACTGGCTACCTAAACAAGTTCCAAATATATTGAAAAATCTCAAAAAGTAAATGCTAATAAAACAAAAACTCTTTTGAATTAAGAGCAAAGAGCCCAAGTCTTTCCATTAAGATATAAATGTTCTCGCGGGGCGCAGTGGCTCACGCCTGTAATCCCAGCACTTTGGGAGGCTGAGGCGGGCGGATCACCAGAGGTCGGGAGTTCCAGAACAGCCTGACCAACATGGAGAAACCCCGTCTCTACTAAAAATACAAAATTAGCCGGGCGTGGTGGCGCATGCCTATAATCCAAGCTACTCAGGAGGCTGAGGCAGAATTGCTTGAACCTGGGAGGCAGAGGTTGTGGTGAGCCAGGATTGCGCCATTGCACTCCAGCCTGGGCAACAAGAGCGAAACTCCATCTCAAAAAAAAAAAAAAAAAAAAAAAAAAAAAAGATATAAATGTTATTTTTTATACATTTTATGTAAACTCATTGTTAATTTGAAGCTAATTTATTACTCAGAAAAAGATGATTTGTTAAAACATTTTTATGACCTGTATCTTTTTCTGGATCTTTTAAATTTTTTCGAAGAATACACGTATATTATGCCACAACCACTTATAACAAGAAAAGTTAATTTTTATCCTGAGAAATCTTTGATACATCTCATCAGTACTTTTTTTTTAACAGTAAGAAAAAGATTGTGTGTTTACTTTTACACAATATAAGATGTTTCTATCATTTCACTTCGTAATATGTTATAGTCAGGAGTAATCGTCTATGTCCCCTGTTAAATGGATGGAGTTTGAAAGGATTTTATGCTACCACTGCAGTTCATACCTATTATTATGTTTACTAGAACCAGTGAATAAGCTTGAACAAGAGATTACTCCAGAATTGCTCTTGAAAAAAAAGCTGATGTTTTCTAACAGGAGGAACTTTTGAGGTAGTGAATCCATATACGAACTGACAGGTATGCTACCAGACAATAAAAATCTGTGACTCCTGATGAGGATCAACTCTTAATGAGAGAAACTGTTTTAGAGAACCCAGGATGCATGCTTCCCCCTGCCAGAGGGATTATGGGGTGTTTGGGAAGAATACTATGAGAATCTGAGGTCCAAAATATCTTTCCATTTGAATTGGAATTGCAAATCCAATTCACACTGGACGAAGTTCCTATTTATTTCTTTATATTCTACGGAAAGTGCTATCCCCCACTGACATGGCAACCAGAGCAAACAAAGCAAATAAAACTCTAAATTTTAATGAGAGTTACTTGAAGACAATGACAGCACAGCCAAACTTATCTTTGTAGTAAAATTTTGTGCATATAGGAGATATTCCCTAGATATTTGTTAGGCTGAACTAGATAAAATCTGTAATGTCTTTGCGGAACATTATAAAGATTGAAAAATTGTCAAAAATGTTGCTCATAAAAACCGAAAGTTAGGTTGTTTCAGTACCTCGTATTCTGGTGGAAGAATACCATCCATTTAACCCAGTGTACTCCTCTACCTTTTGGAGTCTTCACATTAAAAAATATTAAAATATTTGTTGATTGAATGTAAAGTAATATGAGTCTCTTCTACTTCATGGAATTTGAGATTGGAAAAGTTAAGATGCTCATACTAAAAGAAGTAATACGTATGCTTCAAGTCTCTTTGATATATACAGACATGGACACCAACTGTGAGTTTACATTAGCAGATATTGATCTTAAGATACTATTTTTTAAATAATAAACTTCCTTAGTTAAAGCAATTGAAAAGGATCATCATCATCCATTTCAAAATTACTTTCCAAAGAACTTGATTTCAAGTTAAGGAAAAGCCAGAACCCATATCCTCTTGAGTACAAATGTTCTCAATTACGTGATAGAACCCAAAATATTATAGCTTTTGCAACATCCCCCAGCCCCAAGTCTCTTCTAAGGAGATCTATACAATCTTTTCAGATTTGTTGGGCTACCTTTTTTATGCTGATCGGGATAATGTGTGACGTGATAGAAGCTGAGAAAGGAATAAAAAGATAGGATGGGGGAATTAAAAACAGGGCTGAGAAAGTTTTAGAAAATTTAATAAAAGAGGAGAAAAGAAAGAACTAGTACAGTAAAAATTATGAGATGAGAGATTTAACTGACTGCCTTGTAGAACAGAAATTTGATAGGAAAATACACCAAAACACATTTTTAAGAAGTGTGGTTGGGTGATATGTAAAACAATTCATTCTTCACCATCTCTTCTGAAGAGCTTCTTTAGAGCCTTTGCTTTTCAAGGACCGGATTTGGATTTGTTTTCCATTCATGGGCTGAGATAGGTTTTAAAGCTATTGCTGGAAGGCAGTTTTATTCAGGTTATACTTTGATAGATTTTAAAGAGCAATGCAGAGTGAAATAAGATGTTTTATTTTGATATGGAATGTAGAACATTTATCACCAGTTATAACTCAGTGCAAAAGTGCTATAATTCTTGATTCGTGTTAAACCAGATGAATTTTGCAATTTGATTGCTTTTTTTGAAATGATTTAAATACCTTATCTCTCTCCTTGATTGTATATTGTTTTTAATTTTTTTTCCAAATATGCCTTCTACTATGAGATAGTGAGTTCACTACAGACTGAAAATTGACCATCTAGAAAATAAAATGAAAATGATTTTTTGACTGTCTGGTTTTAAAATACAAAACACCCCCTCAGTAGCATAGATCAAGACATTTAAAATAAAGTAATTATATGAGTCTATATGCATATTTTAGGTATCAAAGGTTATTCCTGAAGACTCATGATTTATGGAAGTTACTTATTCTCTTTTTATAATTTTTATGCTTTGCATATTAAACAGATTTAATTACCTAAAATGTACACTAGTAAGTCTTAAAATGTTTCATGTAAAATTTTCAAATGAATTTGGCATTTTAACTGTTAATATTCCTGGGATCATGGGGTCCATGATTGGTAGGCAGTAAATAATATCCTTATATTTTAATGTTTCTGTTTAATCTTGCACACATATTTCAATTTTGCTGTAACCATGATGAAGTTCAAAGTTTCAATTAAGATTATCATGCTTACAGTTCTCAAAAATAAAAATATAATTTAAAAGGAATTTTGAAGGAGATATGGGGTGAGAGACAAAGCAAAAAGGTAGTTTTATGATACTATAGAAAAGATGTTAGGGAAAGAAAAAGTAAGTACAAATTAACCAGATGTAGAATAGGATCATCAGACATTTTAAAAGAAAAAATTCTTATCAGACAACTTTAATCTTGCAATCACTGAATGCTCATCCCATAGAAGTTTAAATAACTTAATAGAATTTATTTCAAGGTACACAGATGGTTGAGTCCTGTGGAAGACCATATTATTCTATTTCTTATTTTTCTAAATACCTTTTTTGTATTATAAAAATAAATATATGATTAATAAATTTAATCTGTTTTACATCTGTTCTTATTTAATATATATTCGAAGATAGGTAAATATGGAAATTTTATATTTCTTCTAAATGTATCCAGATTTGTGTAAATGTATCAAGCAAACTGCAGATAGTCTATGAGTGATGCACAACCATGCAGGTTGATGGCTGGAAAATGTGGCTAGCTATATCTGGCATACCTACTTAAAAAGTGATGGATTTCCCATCGACCCCCACCTTTTTTTCTTTTTGTATATTTTAAGAAGTACCTAAAGACTCTTCCTTCTAGCTTTGCTTTACACATTTGTTTTGAAATGAGAAGGATTAAGCTGTGGTAGGGAAAAATCAGGAGATAAGTCAGCAAAAGAAAATATGTAGAAGGGTCTAATATAATGGGACAATCAACAAAATCTAAATATAAGAAAAAATGACCGGGCTCCGTGGCTCACGCCTGTAATCTCAGCACTTTGGGAGGCCGAGGCGGGCAGATCACTTGAGGTCAGGAGTTCGAGACCAGCCTGGCCAACATAGTGAAACTCCGTCTCTACTAAAAATACAAAAATTAGCCAGGCATGGTGGCAGGCATCTGTAATCCCAGCTACTTGGGAGGCTGAGGCAGGAGAATGACTTGAACCCAGGAGGCGGAGGTTGCAGTGAGCTGAGATCGCGCCATTGCACCCCAGCCTGGGCAACAAGAGCAAAACACCTCTGTCTCAAAAACAAACAAACAAACAAAAAACAAAAACAAAAACAAAAAACCCAAACAGGGTCCTTTATTAAAAAACAAACAAAAAAAACTACTATGACAAAAAATGAATTTAGATAGGAATTTGTCAATGTGGGTAGGGCACCATTATCACTGAGATCCAATAAAAGCTAATTTATTAAATCAGTATCTTTAGACAACCTACTCTGTTTTTTTCCCTCAACACATTTTACTTACTCTTCCACCTAAAACAGTAATCATTTTTTTTAGTTTTACAGGGAGCAGCTGATTTTATAATTTAATTTGTTGATAAGATATAGCACTATTTTGATAAGCCAACTCAGCTTAAATCACTTAACATATGTATTTACCTTTGTTTTTTAAGCCTCTCAGAAGATGATGACAACAATACATCTTAGCTGTGTTCTCAATTTTATGTAACTGTATGTTGGACCCAGGTTGACACAATATGCTCATGTGTAAGATCTGTTTACTCTTTGGAGTATTCATACTTATTTCTTAGGAGGTTTGGAAAAGAGCTCAGCATGTTCATGTAACTTATTTTTGCAAAGAAAACATAAGAACGCTTCAACTTGCAAAATGCACCGATACCAAATGGTCAGCTAAGTATGTTTATTTCCTTGGGCCACCATGTATCTATCATAAAGTTCTGTTTAAATTAAATTAATAATTTTACATTAAATCTAAGGGTATAATCTAATGTATTTTATTCAAAGCAATTCTACTGAGAATGACTAATTTTCTCAGTGCTTTGATAATTGCTTTTGCAAATTTGTGACAGTGCACAAAGGGAATAGTCATGGATTTATCCCAAGCTTTTCTCTATGAAAGCCATTATTAGATCAATGAAGTCACTCTTGGTCTTTCCAGGAGCGGTCTTCATAAGGTAGTAGAGAAATATGCTACAGTTAGTAAAAAATAAATAAATAAATAAAATTAGAGGTGAAAAGCCTTTAAACTACCACCTACTATGAAATATGTGTGACACTACAAAGTTAATTTTTTAAAAATTGACAAACCCAGCCTCAGATGATTTATAAACACAGTATTTTTTTCTCCCTCCCTAATAACCCCCTTCTCATCATAGTCATACCTCACAAAAATTCATTTCATGATATCACTGGTCATTTCTGCAAATAATTCTAAAAATATCAGGCACCAACAGTTAAACTATTAAAAAGTAAAGTAACAATACAACCAATAGAGCTGAATATAATTACCTAAAAATGAAACATTTATGTCAATTTGGAAGCTACTTGATCACAAAACATGAAAGAAAGGTTAACTAGTTCTTTCTCATCTACCATCACACTCTACATACATCACTAAGGAAGCCCCACCTGGATACATTTCCTTAGGTTTTGTCCGTGAACACTTCCCATATACTGCTTATACAAACTTACACATCCAGGCTGAGTTATTTACCATTGCGTAGCGATAATCTGCAGTGGGCCAGGGTTTTATCTGCAGGTTATTCAGAGCGGATTTATGTAGCATGATTTTAAAATCCTGGTCGGAAGCATAAACATAAGGTGTGTGCCTATAGTCTGAACAGAAGACTGCAGTTTGTGAAGTGATGTTTGGAGAATCAGAAGAGAGACTAGTAGAGAGGATATCGTTCGTTTTAGAAATGCCGAGGCACAAAACACAGGTGCTTGTAGTACTTTCATACATGAAATCCCTTCTCCTGTATGTGCATCATGTGTAAACGTAAAGTCTGTATACTGCTGACTATTCGTCTCTGGTGTCCAATGAGTATGACTCCAATTCTTCTAATGTCGCTGAGAGAGAGGAGAGCGAGAGCGAGAGCGAGAGCGAGAGAGAGAGAGAGAGAGATACAGAATATGAACATTTAGATCTGGTAAGCATGCGAGATAAAATGAATATGTAAATATATTAAATAAGCGCCCTGCCACAGTTGCGAAAAAATGGTGTAGCTTACTTGTTAAGCAGAGATTTAGATGAGCAGCAAAAGTTTGTTACTTTTTTCCTTTTCTCTGGATCCACAGAATGCGTAAAGTTAATCTCAGATGTAACAATATGTATTTTTCAATTCATACACAGGTACTTATTTAATATTCAGATATTTCATAGGCGTAAAGGCTATATAATTTAGGTAATGATATACATTTGCAACAGTATTAGCAAAATGGTGAGTAGGTAGGATGGAGGGTATAATGTGAACTCCATTTGATTTCTCATGGGTTTTTGATATCTGGAAAAATTGCCCTTATGTTGTACTGTATGAAATTGCCATTACTGTCTTAAAACAATGGCACTTCAATATGGTTCAACATAACCATTTAGTCTTTTAAGCACATGTTAAATATTTTCATTGCATGTAGGCAAAGGACAATCTTTGAGACGGTGGAAAATGGTTGACCATTATAATATCTAGAAGGAGCTCTGAAAATGACATGATCATATTGCATTAACTTGATGAAGGTAATAGGAATTGATTATGCAATATTAATATATGTGAGTAAAATTTGCCAAGGTAAAATTAAAGTCTATGGTTGGCATAAAGTCTATGATTTGGATGAGAGTAACATGCATTTTAGAAAACATTTAAAATATTTTAAATAGCTATTTGAATTAAATATATTCTTTCAAAGAATAATAGTTAAAAGTGTAATGTCCAACTTTCACTAGAATGATAGTCAGAAATGGTGAGAAAACACTGGGAAATTACCTACTAGCCTAAGGAAAGGTGTTCTTGATACAGCATTTGAACATATAATCCCCAGCAGGGCATCTAGTTACAGTAATAACCCCAGTATCACTTACTCAATGCTCATTCTTGAAATCAGGTCAAAAGTTGTAAACCCTGCTGCCATGAAGTTATTCTTGTATTGCCCCATCTTTATAGAATCTAGCCAGTCACCAACTGTGACAAACAAAGGATATTCTGGAACTTCACCAGGGGACTCTGGCATTCTGTAAGAAAACAAAACAAAGCAAAACAAAACAAAACAAAACAAAACATGGAGAGCATTTAAAAGCCAAAAAAAGCATGAATCATGGAATTTTCATTTTCCTTTTACAATATTCTTACATCTAATGTTTTCTCCATTTAAAAGCCTCTGATTTTCTATCTTATTCAAATCAATCACTTTAAAAAATTATTTATCAAATCAGTGACTTATCTGGTGGAACACTTTTGCTTTTTGTGCTTTTTGCTACTACGACTGGGCCTTATATTGATTTTTTTTCTTTTTAATGTTTTCATGATGGATCTTGAGAGAACTCACATCTTGCTATCCCCCTTCTTCTTATACGTTTTTCTCTTGCATAAAATTGTGTTTTGAAACTTAAGGAATAGCCCATCCCTTGTCCCCACAAGGAGATTAACTAGCCACAGGATGTTCATTCTTCCCCCGTCTGACCTACCCCTGAATCCATGTCCTTTTCTACATTTGCTATGATAGTTCTTCTCCTTATGGTGAATTCATTGATCAAACTTCCATTTAGCTGTTCTCAAACATTCAATAATAATTTATCATTTGTTAAAATGTAATTTTTATTGTCGTAGAGTTCTATTTGCATGAATAAGATTTACACCCATACAAGCATAGGGTAATGTCCCCAACACACAGATATTAATAAGACACAAAACACCACAAAATCAATGTTAGGTTGGTTTAACAAGGCAATGATATAGCAATCTTTATTTTTGTTTCTCAGATCTGATGCAAGGGGCAGTATAAAGATATTACTTTGGAAAGGCTAGGGTATACATGTGCTTATATATACACACACACACACATTTATATGCAATATATATGAAATATATATAATAGCTTAAGTCAGAGAGAATAAAAACAGAATTACTCTTATAAATTATGGTAAAAGTAACTCAGAATTGTGTATTTAAGCCATTCTGGCAACAAATTGTATTAGTTTCTTTACATAATTACAAATTAAAAAATATTTTAATGTGTATTTTAACATGCTTTATTTTGCATGTTTTAAAAAATACTTGGTAGTAAAAGTGCTTTTATACTAATAAATGTGTTACTAAAGCTCTAGGTAATAAATATATCATTTAAAGAATTCTTAGATCTGTAATTTATATTAACTAGTAAAGCAGTAACAATCTTTTAAAAAAATTTAGTGTTTGAGTTAAATCTACATATTCTAAGTAATGAAAAACTCCCTTATTAGAAGTGAATCACTGAGTTATTTTTATTGGAATATTGAAATTAGTCCACCTTTCATTTGCTTTGTTTTTAAAGTTTTATAAAGTTAAAGAATGAAAGAATCTACAGAGACAATTAGAGGCATAGATTTTAAAGTTCATATTTGGACTATTTTATCAAAAAATTTTTACCATTCACATTTGAACTACTTCAGCTTTAACTAGCAATTGATAAGCTACAAGCACACATGATTAAACCATGTGAAGTAAGAATTCCCCTACTGTGAAGCAGAAGGGCATATACATGCTATATAACCTAATTCCTATAATAATATAGGAATTAGGTCCTAAGGTTAATACTTAAGGTGAAAACTGTAATTCCCTAACCATTAAAATTACCCTTAAAAATCCTTTAAATCAGCCTAAAGTCACTAGGACCCAAGTCTTTTAGGAGCACAAGTTGTTTATGGTACAACTCCTGAAGATTCTGAAAGGTGCCCTTGGAATTCAGCACAAAGTCCCTACTAAAGGCCTAGAATTCATTTATTTGGATTTCCTTTTCATTACTACATTGACCTACCTTTTTCTAAACTGAGGTCTAGCTGAAGGTGGAGGTGGGGTGAACAGAGATGACAGGGTGGGGTTGTACTCTTTATGTATGATTGGAATTAACATAAATTAAATGCATATACCTTGTGATTGATTACACTGTACTCTGTATTGGGTCTGGTTATCCTTAACAGTGACTTCTGTCCTTTTTAACACTACTCAGTTCCATTACATTTCCTATTTGGAGGCTGTTAAGCTGCATTCTTTTCTCCTGTACTACAGATTGCAATGTTATTTTGATTGTGAACTGTTTCATTTTAATTAACATCAAAATGATTCATGATTTGACCTAACACAAAGGTCAGTCATGTTGAAAGATTGGAAAGCTATCATAGCATCTATCTACCAGCAAATACTTGAACTGTTGCCATATTTATTCAAAGTTTCCTAGAGGTGTTTATGTTAATGAATATTGTCAAATAAAAATTCATATGTAAAACACAAAATAATAAAGGTCTCCGTGGCAAACAGAGTGAAGCAGATTTTTAAGTTGTAGTGTTTCTCAGAGTCCTCACTGCTCTAATGTGCATCGTAAATATGTAAGAGAATTCAGAATAGTTTCTATATTATTTTTCTAAATTATTTGACCAGTTTCAGGGGATATACCGTACTTCACTGGCCAAGAGGTTAAATATCAAAATGACCAGGATATCTTTGTTGCTTGTTAACATAAATAAAACCACGTTAGAAAATTGAATGTCCTATTTCAAAATAACGTGACTTTCATATCTTTTAAATACTTGTCAAAGTAGTTTGTTAAAACTGAACAAAATTAAAAGAATGTATTAAAGTGACTTTCCCTTCATACTCCTATGTCATTCTCGATGCACCGACATAGTCAGATGACTTCTACTTCTCTCTCCCGAGATGACACTGGAATAACTCTTGAAATTTCATGATTTCATACATTTGGTGAGTGGAAATGTAACTTGCTAATTTTATGTCCTTAGAATAAAAGGTCATGGAAGGACATTCTGTATATTAAATGACTTAAATAGCCTATTTCCCTTGTTGAAAAGCATCTACTGTTTGCTTCCAGAATGCTTCAATACCATAATTCCCTTTCTCTCCACGCATCTTCAGTGACCTAGTTACTCTTTGGCCTTTATACGACTGCCTTGGCAGTTGATTTAGTAAGGTCAGGGTTCCCTCATTGTTCACAGCCACTGTGCAATAACTTTTCTTTCACCTTATCTTCTAAGGAAGTTGAAAAATGTTGCTATTTTCTGGCTTCGAGGGCTTGGTACCATTATCCTCACATGAATTCTCTGGAATATTACCTAATAAACAATAAATGCCCTTTCTTATCAAACATGTACAATGATAAATTTAGTGTGCTATTTGCTGAGCATGTAGAAATTTGTGCTATTTGGTGATTAGTGAGTACTGCCCATCTGAGAAATATCTTTACAGCCAAACCTGCAGCTCACATTTAAAAAAATACTTATTGTAGAATAGAAGGTCAAGGATCAACTTTTTCCTCAGAAAAATGAGAATGGGGCTAGAATTAGGAAATTTCAGGTATAATTATGGTCAATTTAGATAATAGAAAGGGCTGGAGCATAGATATTACAGGTAATGTTACAGTTTAGTAATAAATATAAAATTTCAATACAATAAAATATGTTAAAAAATGAATAGCTCTGGTAAGAGTCCAGAAGTTTTTACTCTAATGAGTCCTTTGAGTTCACAATAGTGCTAGCATTTTAACTTAGAAGTTCCTTAGATATGTCATCAATGTGTATCACTACCATTAAAAGGCAAGAAGTGTTTTGTCCTCAAAGTTTTCCATGTTTCATATTCATCATATAAATATATGATAGTAATGGACATACTAAAATGATTTAAGAAAGGTTCTATTTTGAGAAACACTATTGCAAGCTAAGATTCTGTTTTAATATGACAGACACCCTCACATGCTTAAAGGTTTTTCTTCTCTTACACTCTAACACAACTTCTTGTTTCCTAGCTCGTACATGTATATATGATTAGCAGAAATATGCAGATAGGGTCCATTTTATTTTATATTGCCTTCATTTCATATATTCATGAATGTATCCCATGTTTCAACAGTCTTCATATTCAAATGGGTACGTAATATTCTACATGTGGATGCTTAATAATTTGTAATTTTCTAAAGTTAGACTCTTAGGTTGCTAACAACAGTCTTTTGGTAGACGTGAGTATGTAGTTTAAGAGCATGTTTCTTTTTGTTTCAGTTGAATAACTTCTTTGGGAAAAATTCATAAGACAGAAGAATTGTTTAAAGCATAAGTGAAAACCCCCTGATGGCAGGAACACATCTTTCTATTTTATGTAGGCACTCACATAATGCTGAAAACATTATAGGAGTTCATTAAATACATGATGACTCAGACTCGAATATTAAATTTTCTACAGAAAAGTTTGGTCCATAACATGATGGCTGATTCATGATGAATATTTTCATTTCATTCCAATAAATAAAAAACTTAGAAAAATAAGTACCTGTTGATATAGTCGTCAACTTATTAAATAATATGCTGTTTATTTAAATTATTCCCTCTATTGTGAAAATGTTTGTTTATTCTGTCTTTATAGGTTTCAGGGTGGAGAAAGAGGCAGTGATAGCTGGAGTTGGGTAGCATAGGGTTAAGGGTTCACCTGCAATTATAACCAGACCTAGAGCCACAACAGCACATTGACTTAATGCAATATGGCTGCTTTTACATGAGTTCCTCATCTTGTGACTCAGGGACTACACTTCACACTATCCATTTAATGCATGAAATAATTTTGTCATACATACACTATCTACATACCTTTTGAAGAAGCATTTACTTAATCATATACTTTTAAAAAGTCCTCTCTACAATTAAGGCTAACATTCAATGTGAACACATTAAATTAATGAAGGAATTTCGATATTTAAAACATTTTTAAAGTGTAATTTTACTCAAAGGGTTATAAAACCTCAAATGCATAGAAATATATAGATATAGATATAGATATTTTGTGCTTGTGGGTAACATATATCTGTTTTAAACAGTCTAACTCCACAGTGTTAAGGACATTAATTATTTTTTGTCAGTCTTTTATTTTCAGTAAGTCTTCAATTGTTTGTTATTTATATGATTATGTAAACATAATAAGGCTGATAAATAGTGAAAAATATGAAGGAATGAAAATTAAAATTTCACAGCAAAATTTG